CACAAGCTGGCTGACCAGCTGGACTTTCTGCCAGACCTCAAGAAATGTTATATATCTGACTTCATTCTGATTTGGAAATAGGGGGAGGACATCAGAAGCACAAAATTTATTGAGAACAGAAATTCTGGTTCCAAGAGCTGCAGATAGGAATTTACTTCAGTTATCTTTGTGAGAAAGAAATTTCTTATACTAGATGTCTTGGTCACTGGAAAATGCATTACAGTATTTAATGGATGTAAGGTGACACTAGACATACACAGAAAAAAAAAGATGAACATTACCAACTGTTAAAGTAATCACTTCTTGGCACAACTACTCTGATGAATTCTCCATCATATAAAATCAGTTCTGTATATCTTTCTAAAACTGTGAGATAGTTAATCAGTTACCAGTTTGCTGGAGAAAATAGTGTTAAGTTTTAGGTTGTTCTAAGTAAAGGTCTTCTATTGCTCTATAAATATATGGCACTCTGCATCACCACTACTCCCATTTTCATCAGGCAAAGTATCAAAATCTGAATGCTCTAGACTTCAGGAAGCTTAAATTTGGATCCACAGCTCATTCTCACTGACATCTGAATAACAGTCTGAACTCAGTCTGAATAAAACTAAGGCTTTCAAAAAATCTGGATCTCAATTCTTCACTTTTATCCACCTCCTCTTTTCCCCAATACCTTTAGCAAAGCTGCAACAGCCTCCTGGTTAGCATTTCGAACATCTTCTCCATTCACTGTCAATATCTGGTCTCCTTGCATTAATCTCCCATCTGTATCTGCTATTCCTCCTTTGACGATGTCTGACACAAACACCCCCGTATCATTTCTGCAAATACAAATATGGATTTTGCATTACAGTATTGTTGAAGGGCCATTTTTATGGCTTGCTGTTGGGAACACAATGAACATTGTCTCATTTTTCTGTTGAGTAAAGTTGGGCTAATTCCTCTAGGAATGGCCAATTAGCTTAGGCACAAAAATGACATGTACGACTTTCAAGCCCACAGGATCTGAGCACTAGACCCCAACAGAAACATGAGCATGCCCAGCAAGTCCCAGACATTGACTCTCCAGGTACATTCACACCTTTTCCCAACAATACTCAGCCCAAGGCCTTTGCCAGGCTTCTTTTGGAGCTCTATATTGAGTACATCATACATGTCTTCCTCCTTGTACTGGGCCTCATCTCTGTACACAGTCAGACGAACTTTTTGGGGAGTCTGTCGGAGG